ATTAAAGTTTTTGTTGTTTTTTTTTAAACTAAATCTATCAGGAGAATAAAACGTTATTAAAGTTTTTGTTGTTTTTTTTTAAACTAAATCTATCAGGAGAATAAAACGTTATTAAAGTTTTTGTTGTTTTTTTTAAACTAAATCTATCAGGAGAATAAAACGTTATTAAAGTTTTGTTGTTTTTTAAACTAAATCTATCAGGAGAATAAATGTTATTAAAGTTTTTGTTGTTTTTTTTAAACTAAATCTATCAGGAGAATAAAACGTTATTAAAGAGTAAATATGGCGTGAAAACCAGAATAAATAAAATAAAAAAACAATTTAGTCCCGACATTTAAGGAAATAAAGACTGTTTTGGAGACTGATGGTTGAGTTCGTTATATTAAAACGATTCTGAATATGCAAATCAGCAATTCACGTGACAATCACAGCCGATATAAAGTCGCGTTGGAACGGAATGTATCAGAACTACATTTTTACATTGTCAGGCGTTTTGTAGTTAGTGTACTGCCACAACAAAAATTATAGCTTTTGGGAAAAGGTATGTAACAGACCTTTCTGACGAAAAGTATTCATACAATTACATCATGAAGATGTATTCAGATCGCGTATTTAGAACTTATAAGACGTGGTTATTCCTTATAGCGAATGACACTGAAAAAACAATGTATCATTTTGCAGCAAGTGAGAATCCACTAACAAAAGAACAGTGACAAAAACCACGTGACCCAGGCAACAGTACATTACATAATCAAGAAGTATCTCCTTCTAGAAAAACCAACACAAGTCACGCATACACACGTTGCTTCAAAGGGATACCTCATGCATCTGGAAAGTAAAATGAGTATTTATGCCATTCCGTATTAAGATATATCGGTCAAGTCATTTGTAGGTTTCTGTGTAATCGAACTGTTGAAACAGGTTCCGAGTAACCACCATCCTTGTACATTAGAAGGATTATGGAAAGCAAGCAGGGAAGGCATATATGCTTTGAACATGACAACCTTACGATTGAGCCTTTTGTAATGGAAACTACGCTACAGGTTTATTATCAAAAATGCACAGTGGTCAAGAAGAGAACGACCAAACATGGCGACATTGACTGTAACAACGTGGTTAATCTCCGAAATCGTTTTAATATAAATGACCCAATATCTGTATTCGCGCAAAGCTGAAAATTGACTATCTGTACAAGCCGTCCTTAACTTTGAAAAGATAGACTAGAGGGAAGGCAGCTGGAATTTGACCGTCACTTTTATAACGCATCCACAACCCCAAAGTAGAAAAGGGCGACTTTGTTACAAAAGGGACGCAAGCCATGGACTGTCGGATTCACAGTCACGCTAACTACCAGGCTACGCTCGACTTCCAAGGAAGTATAGGTCAGTTGAAAAACATTTGACCAGTCAAAATGGAAAGTATTCCTGAATAATGTAGATTTTAATCAGAAACGTTTTTGTGACTTTTCACTGAATGTAAATATCAACCACAAACACTTCTGTGTGGTAAAGGGAGTCGAATAAATATTTCCCACATCTAATTTATTAAAGCCCCCCAAAAAATCCCAAAGATGGCACATCTTCTTGTGATATATAAACATTAACATTTTCAACTGGTGGAATTTTAAAAAGGTTAACGGACGTCAGGACAATAACATTTATTGAAGCATACAGCTTGTATTCCAAAATAGAGCTTATAATCAAACATATTTATATATATATATATATTTTTTTTTCCTCTCTCTTTACCCTTCTTCCACCTCCTTTCCAGTTCTCAGTCTTCTTTTGATTTCATCATAATCGCACGCTACTTCAACACGGCGGTCACTATTCTTCAGAACAACAGGATGATGTTGTACGACTATATTATTAATGAATGTTCCGTTTCCCTAAGAAAAAAACAAAAAAAAACAACAACAAAAACATTCATGCGATAGACAGATTTTTCAGTTCCCAAAGCTAACTTATAAAAACTCAAAATCCACGTTATTATGCTCCAGTAATGCTATTGTTAACTTACAAGTTTATTTTATTACTAAACATTAAACCCATGTTTTCTATGACTGATGTGGAGCACTGTTCTTGATCGTCTATACCAGTGGTTCCCAACCTTTGCTCCACCAAGGACCCCCCCCCCCCTTTTTATGATCATTTTTTCGCCACTGACCCCATGTTTTTTGAAAGATTCCATCTACCCAACAAACTGTTTTTATTAACTAATAATTAACTCGTTTTTCCATTTCTCACTATCAAATAAAAAGACATATATAACTGAGTGTGCAATTAAAAAAAACTTGAGATGGTATTACCTACGCGGACCCCCAGGGGTCCGGGAACCACTGATCTATGCCGAAGACGTCCTCAAGTTTTGACTTCTACAGCACATAGATATTCGATTTAATTTTTTTAGAACGATACCATTCGTTTAGTTTACAGAGTAGACAAAAAAGCAACGAACTTAAACCGGCGCGTGATATATTACCCAAGTGCATGATTGTTAATGAATACTGCAGCCACCGACAGAACATGCCGAACACTGAAAGCTAACTAAAACAGGAGACCTACGATTCGTAAAAGAAATTCACCACAAAATGTAAACTGTTCTCCGACATTCCCCTTATTCTGTCCTTCATTAGTTGCAACGTGTAGAAATGTCGCTTTTGATCTGGTACAGCAAGGGTGGTCATCCGTGCTGCGACTTATGGCTGACAAAAAGATAAAATCGAAACGGTCAATTTGCACGCGTCCGATTTGAAATCCACAAAAGACAGATTCAGTGGAATGCGTGAGGAAGGGGGTGGGTGGGGAAATCTGCAGTCTAACATGGATTTTTATCACCAATATTAAACGATAAATTTACCCGTGTCCGATTTGAAATCCACAAAAAGACAGATTCAGTGGAATGCGGGAGGAAGGGAGGGGGAGTTAAGGGAAATCTGCAGTCCGGCATGGATTTTGTTTGTATCACCAATACGACCCATTGTATTAGACAACTCTACTGACCTTTTCACGCTATTCTATGGTGATTTATGAACATACATTTGAGTTTTAACATGGTGTATTCCGAGTTTCTGATGTTTTACAGTTCCATTAGTTTATCAATTTTCCAATACCATGACCTTCCATATAGACCTGCTGCCCTCTATAAAGTAATACACGTTCTAGCATTTCTTACCAAGTTCTTTGTACCACAATTTCGCCCATGAAGTGGAAGTGTGATAGCGATTTCTCCGTTGCCCCCTGCAGTCAGAGCATAGCAATCGTGTGGATGTCCTAGGGCGTAAACTCGCCCTCTGAAAGGAGTAGAGACGCGAAGAATCGCAGTCATCGATGTGGAATCACACTGCATCTTAACTGTTGAAGATATAAAAAATAGGGTTAGCACTTCAGTACTTAACGAGCAATATATCACTAAACGCCTGCATCTTAACTGTTGAAGATATAAAAAATAGGGTTAGCACTTCAGTACTTAACGAGCAATATATCACTAAACGCCTGCATGTTAACTGTTGAAGATATAAAAAATAGGGTTAGCACTTCAGTACTTAACGAGCAATATATCACTAAACGCCTAGAGTTCGGCTTCGAAAGTTACGGAACTTTAAACAGTCAACAAACTGTTTTTTATACAGAAAAACGATGCAATTATAATATGACAGTTGACTTTTAAACCATAAGCATCATACAGCATCCCCCTACCCCACTAAATTCGGAAACTCTGCAGGAGTATTGAGTATTCTTTTTTTTTTTGCAGAATATCAGTCTTACAGAAAAATGAGCAAGACAAATAAAAGGACTGGTGATTCTAGACCAGGGATGGGCAACAATTTTCGCAGGGGGGGGGGGCACTACAAGACCGCACATTTCTACTTTGTTAATTAAATCACACAAACATCAGTTGTGTAAAGATCCCATTATGTTCTCTCAATAATTGCTAGGACAGAAATGTTAGAGTGGCCGGATTTTGGCCCACCTCAGTTCTAGACATTGTGGGGAATATTTTAAGACATTCCCCCCTATTGTAGCTATACGTGTTATTTCGGTAAATGAGGGGACGTTGAAAATATCCAATCATTTCAGTAGACTTGAGTCCGTAGCTTTGTTTGCGATTTCATTTTCTGATTCGATACTTTTCTAAGCTACTATAAGCCCAAAGTTTGGTTATAAAATAAACACAAATGTTAAGTTTATCTACATATCCACGAGATGGAGAAGACAGAACATCACAGTTGCACTCCCAGTGCCACTGGGGGAATAGTCTCGAACATTTTTCTTTTCTGTAAACTCAGAAGTGTTGCAATAAAGAGGAAAAAGGAAGCGAGTGTATGAAAATTATGCCTTACATAGTTTTATGATAAAGTGTTTGTTTGAAATTAAGCACAAAGCTACACAATGGCCTATCCGTGCTATGTCCACCACGGGTATCGAAACCCGGATTCTAGCGTTGTACGTCCGCAAACATCACAGCCAGTTAAGAATACAGTAACTAATCAG